TCGCCTGCGTTTTGTCTCATAAGAAGCTTCAGAAACATTTACACGTTTTCTTCCACTATTCCCTCGTACTCTCGGAATCTTTTTAGGTCGGCCCCCAGTACTTTTACTTTCTGAACTTCCCATTTTTTATATGTACTAGCTCACTTGTCGATTACTTTTTCACAGTTGTTACAAACGTTATATAATTTAAAAGTAACGTAATATATAGCTCATACACAAAAAAAACATTTCTTTTAGATCTTCATATGCTATCATAATAATGTAAAACATTTTTTCGAAAAACAAGATTTAAAAATAATTTCCATTTTACTTATTTTGTAATAAGGAAAAGTGAAATAGTTTTTTCCATGTTTTATATTACTGTATTGGAAAATGCTATTCATAGTTATAACACAGAAATGAGTTTTACATACACTTTCTACTACTGACAAATTTACTTATTGGAGGGGTGTTCGGGATATAAGAATCTTGAAAAATTTCTCGTCTAGATTCAAGAAGTAAAAAATTTTTGTTACGAGATTTCTCATTCAGGACAATTGGACAATAATCATCTCAACTCGAAATTTCATAACTGTCTCGGTTATACCAGAAAGTCCGAGAAATTTAAAGTGGTTTATAATTTGCCTAGACATTGTCAAGAAACCTGGGTGGTTCCATCACGGACCCCGAGATGGCAGAAGGTCCCAGGTGTCTTAACTGTACCAAAGGCGACACAAGATAAGGAAGACAAAAGTAAGAGCCCCCTCTAATCTCTAATGGAAATTAGTTTATCTGGGCTATTTCGCATAATATCGATCTACNTCAACAATACTGTAGAAAAATATGTTATTGTTTTCTTATTTTTAGGTATTTACATAAATCCAAGAAACAATAATGTCAGATCACAGTGTTACTCCGCCAAAAACTTCCGCAAAAGATCCGTAAGAATTTTCGTGTAGATAGATAATGTTTGCTTGAGGGTTTTATCGATTATAATTCCTCGAAAAATTCCTCAAAACTGAATGTTTTACAAGAGTTGTTTATTGTATATTTTTTACGAAAGATTGAAAGTGAAAATAATTCAATGGATCGTAAAAATTTTCGAAGTAAAATTTTACCTGCCAAAATTCTGGTAAAATAGTTTTCCATGCAAAAATCCTTGCAGGAATCGTTGCAGAAATCTGTGATGTTTGCATTGATTTTCTTACGAAAGTTGTTTCAGGAAAAATAAGCGATGAAATAATTTATGAAAATAAATTCTATAAATATTATACTATGCGTTAAATTGTGTTATGCTACAAAAAGTAACATAAAGTAGTATTGCAGAAGTTAACATTAAAAATTTTCAAAAATACTTAAATGAAAAACCATTATTCTATCTATACCACTTAGCAGATAAAATTAAATTTTCAAAATTAGGTTCTGAAGTACGCTAAGCTAATTCATATTTCTAAAAAATTTTTGTTATGTGATGCTGAAAGGTAATGAATGTGAGACTTACGCATGTTAAAGTAATTATAAATATAAATACACATTCATGTATACGTGTATATATATTACAGAAAGGAATAAATTTGACTATGTTTGTACACTAAAGTTTGTCTGTATGTGTGAAGCCATACTCGCAAAACTTGCTGTGTTCTAAACCAAATTGTCCAAAGTAAAAGTTTATATGTATATGTATATATATAAAACGCTCCATATATTAGCATACATCTATATATATATGTATCAATGTATCGTGTCCTGCCAGCTATTTCAAAATAATAATATTTAATAAAGTCGTATGAGAAACTGTGATTTCGGATATTTGATGGCAAAGCATTCATACATACATACATGGATACATACACATATATATACTTTCAAATTATTATGCATTACTATTACCGTATGTCTCTTCGTTTGGCCACTTCTGATACCAAGTAAGTCGATATTTTTATTATCATTACAAGTTAATTATTAATCATTTACATTGATTAATATTACTAAATGCACTTAAAATAGATACATACATATATATTCGTATATATTCACTAATATATAATTTAATTGATACGTTAGCATCAAGTAGGTATTGCCCAGAACACATAAAAAACGAATTAAGTGTTAAATTATCCGAAATTTATTCTAATTATAGCTAAATAAGAAAAAATAGACCTGAAATCGCGAAAAGTCGACGATTACGACAAATTCGTAGGTTAGGTTTAAATTTTTCTGTCTCCTCTATAGTTTTCCTTTAATCTCTATCAATAAAGAAAGATAATAAAAAAAAATTACTTATCTATCTATCAATGTTCGCGAGATATTAGGTTTTGAGTAAAAAAAACCAAATTTGCCCACTGTGCGCCGGAGGTTTTACCCCCTGGTCCCCCACTAGGGGCTACCACCCCTCGGCCCCAAACAATCTTTGATGTGAACCTTCGTTTATTCACAATGAATTCTTACTTATTTCAAAAAACTCTAATCATCTATCTAGAAAACTAAGCTTTTTGGACATTAAATCGACGTTTACTAAATATTTGTACATTGTCAATTCTGTAGTTACACTTTTAGGAAATTAATCATTAACCAGACAAAATACGATCTCACTTTGCACTTTGCACTCTTACAGAGAAAAATACGATACGAAAGTAAAAAAAATGTACGGTTAGAATCAGTATAAGTGCATTGATAAGTGAATGAGAAAAAATTAAAGATATTGTTATCAAGGTGAATTAACTATGAGCGAAAAAAAATATCAAAAGAAAAAACCAAATAAATTATAAACTTGACAACTGTCTATGTTATGATGTACTTAGTATTATATAACATATGATTAATTTCAACCGAAGACGTTTATAACAGTAACAGTACAGTTTACAACCGTAAAGTTTGTAACAGTAAATTTCAAACAAGAAACCATAAATGAGCGCGTGGTGGCTTGGTCGCCTGGTTTGTGGGATGGCACGCGAGAGACTGCGGATTCGGTTCCTGGCCAGTGCGACGCTTCCGAGCAAGTACCTCTGTGATTTTTCACATGTGCCTTTTCACCACGCAATGCTCCTTGAGGAGGGCTTAGGCGACCTTCTCGCAGCAAAAATTGCCTACCACATAGATCCTTCGCTCTCGAGGTGGTCTATGTGACATCATCAACGTGCCAATGAAGTACAACTGTTATCAATGCCTACCACATAGATCCTTCGCTCTCGAGGTGGTCTATGTGACATCATCAACGTGCCAACAAACTACGAAGTGTATCCAATAACGTATAAACCAATAATGTAATATTGTAACGATTACTTGTAATATGTAACAAATATAATGTAACAATGTTCCTTACTGTACCAAGGCTATATTTATGTACTCGTTTACAATAAAGCCTAAAAATAAATACACTACTTAAGTAGGTATTTATTTGAAAAAAAAAAAAAAAAAAAAAGGAACTGTAGTAGTAGAACAGACTTTTATTCGTAAGCTATTTATTTTCAATTTAATCGTAAATGGCATTAGTCATGATCGTGAGAATAATCTTATGTATCGATTTTTGATTGTGTTTTATTATTACATTAGTTAAACAAAACTTTAGTTACTTTTGTCGCAAAGTTTGGATAAACATTAGTAAAAATTGAGTTAGTTGAGTTAAAAAAATTGGTTCACCAGAACTCAAGTTTTAGATTTGGAGATAAGGAAGACTACCTCGATTTTAATAAAAAGGATTTATAAAAAAAGTTACAACAAACCATAGTAATCAGCAAATCCAGATGTGAACACAATATATATTCTTATTTCTAATGGGGAAAGGAAATCAGCCAAAGAAAACATACAATTTGTGCTTGATGATTTTATTCGTAACATTATACAGATGGAATAGTCTCCAATTCCTGAAAAGAGGGTTAATAAATGGTAATATAAGAGAGTATGCCTTAATAAATCCATTATTTGCGATTACAAATCCCACATTTACATCACTTTCATTTAACACGTGAATGAACCGCGTTACCGTTTATCCAAAGTATGTCCAATATGTCGATTGATAAGTACTTTATTACTTATTTGTAGTTATTTTCTTTCTTTTTCTCTTTTCTACCCCTCACATATCGCGTACGTGTGTTTGTATACGTATATAAAAGTCAAAGATAATATTACACATTCATAAATAATAATAATAATAATAATAATAATAATAATAATAAAATAAAAAGAGACGCATATGTATAAGGTATATATAATACATTGTGTAAAGGTATATAATGTATAAAAGGGCATTATCGTTTTAATAAATTTACATTACTAAGTAAGTCTCGATACCAATTTGGCTTTCTCTTAATCAAATACAATATTAGTATTTAAGTCATATAAAACACTGTATACATGTACTAAAAAAAAATCCTACAAATCTTTCGTATTAAACATGAAAAATACTTGAGTATGTTATCGTTCAGCTGCTTGTTATTGCTGGAGTCTCCTTAAAAAACGCCAATGTTCAAAGGAAGCACACTTTTAGTTTTTTTTTTAATTTTTCGAGGGACGAGTTTGTGGTAAATAGTGCTTTTTTGTTGTAATAACCCATAGGAAAAGAAAACAAACGTCTTACTTCTTGATCATATTAAATTTTCAATCAATCGACGCTACAAAAAATCTAATACACGCAATAATCACGTACGTACATACACGTGCCTTATTACAAATAGCAAGATATCTCGTTTTCTCTATCATTGTTTTCACATAGCACGAAGAGGCAACTGGTTCTCTTTGTAGATACAATCCCACGATTCCCCCCCACTTTCTACAGTTATTACTTTTAAAGATATATTACATTGTATATATGTACTAGTTAATTTATAGTTCCATTTTACTTTAGTTCTTTTTTCATTTTTTAATAAATATTATATAATATTTATCAATACTGCAACAATCAAGTGTGTTAGATAGTTTTTTTTGTCTAATACCATGTTCTTTGCGCTGAAATCTACAGCTCTTAATATAATTAAACATTCGTGTACTACCACATGCGTGTTTCTTTCATTTTGATTCATTAATTTTTTTTTTTTTTTTTTTTTTATTGTGCATGTACACAAAAATGCATGAGCACATGATCAATATAGATGATTCAACGATTCGACATGAAATTGTATGTCATGTATGCAAACGCCGAGGCACTTTCGTAAAAATTGAGCCTTTTACTCCTTGGTTGAAATGATTGTCAAATGATTGGTAAATTCATTCAAGTATTTTTTTTATTGTTCTGGTCAATTCTGGACGCGTTTGGCGAATGTAATTGTTGAATAACGTATGATGAAATGAGATGAAAACGCAAAGTTGTAGCACATGAAGTAGTACACGAAACATTTTTTTACGCGCTCGTGTGTGTATAATGTACTTAAAGCTCATTCTATATTTGTTCGTTCGTTATCTCTCTCATGTGCCATGTGAAAACGATGTTTGAACGCTACGATGCGCTGCGTATATTTGTTTTTATACATGAAAGTGTACTAGGAAAAATCGAAAAAGAAAAAAATACTGAAGGTTTCGTTTTTCCCAATCATTCGTCTTCCGTGAGCATTTCAGGCGAAAAATCGGCGCTTCATCGACTGCTTGTCTCGGGATTCACGCGAATCGTGACTTTGTTGCTGAGCACGGTCGCCAGTTTGTCGACGCTGGCTATGTCGTTCTCTTGAATTGACATCGTTTCGGCTTCTTCGAGTGGTGTAGTTTCGTTATCCTTTGAACAGAGCAGACATACGTCAAATATCTTATACACAAATGAAATATTTAGGTTATTTTGTAAGTGCAAAGCTGTGCACTAAATTATAACTGTTTAAACTACTTAATTTTTGTAATCAAGGGGTTGGAAGATACTACTTTCTTGGTCAGTCATACAATAAATTTCATAATAGGGTCATATATTTTTCTTTGATGGGTTTTAATTGTACATGGTCGTATGTTTTATTTAAAATAATACATCTTACATATCTTAGATGCTGTTCCTCTAATAATATAGTATTTCTAAAAAGGTAATGCTGTTTTCTTACAAATCCTGTTATTAGTAACTAAAAAAAAGTGAAGAGTAAGAAAAAGAAAGTAGTATTTAGATAAAGCAAAAATAATAAAAAAAAGCTAAAACATGCATTCGTCCACCACACTAAATCCTTTATTAATAATATTTTCGTTAGTCAACAAACTAATGTTTTATATTTAGAAATCTTTTAAAATCACTGCATTGGCTCGTACGTGTTATCATTTAATTTGATTAGTTTGTCGTGATACGTGAACACGAAAATAAACGCTTCTAGTGATTAATCTTTTTCAATACTGATCTAAATCACACCTAGAAAGTGACGCCTTTTTTAAAAAGGCAACTTTTTGCTTGGCAAGATTATTTTTTTAAATTAATTGTATGAAAAGCGTATTAATGCAAGGCCAATGACTACATTTGACAAAAAAACAGACTCATCTATTTTAATGGATTTAGAGCGTGTCCAGCAACTTAAAAAAAACTCACCCCACTAATTTTTTTTCGTAAGTTTGATCTTTGTAGCGTTGCTACAAGCTCGTTTTGTAGACGCGACGCGACGGGTGGCTCGACTTTAGACTTGCTGCCGTTACGCTGCTGATTCAAAAAGCCCAGTTTCGAGGGTTGTTTGGTGGAATCAGCTTCGTAAGTGCCAATTCTAATGGCAACCTTGCTCACTGCCTTACTGACAGAGGTACTTGGTAATGGCTTGGAAGTTACTGCACCATTTTGTGATTCAGGGGTGGTGGCCATTTTGTTGTTGTCTGTACTAGTGAACGAAAAGTATGTGGGCGGGGGTTTTGGCACGTGTGCGGTAGCAGAGTCCTTTAATTTGAAAGACTCGATGCTCTGCATCTCTACAGCTTCGTCACCATTAGTTTTTTTTGCAGTTGCAAGCTTTTTACCTGCCGGCAGCGTGCTTTGTGTTGTGGTATTTTTGCACTTTTCCTCATTCTGAAATACGTTACAAAAGTAATTTTTATTTGAAGTGATGCTAGTTGACTCTATACGTACAAAAAGAAAAATTGTTGGAGTGGTGCAAGAGAAGAGTTTTTCAACTTGAAAAGTTGATGATACAATATAAGTTGGAAAAGTGGAATTACAATGAATAATTGAGAAAAAATAAAGGAGAAAGATATCTGTGGAAGAATATATGTAACAGCTACTCAGTGAAAATTATTCAAACGATTTCTTGGTATTATGATCATGGGTTTTACATTCGTATCGTGCGTGGAATTCGATAGTGATTTTTTTGTTGTAGTTGTATACTAAAACTTATGATTCCAGACTTTCAGAATTAGAAGAATGGAACCTCATAAGACTACATGCAGCTGAATATTGTATAATATATATTGTATATCAGTTGCTCAGGAAAACTCAACTTCATCAAAAAATTTATAGTCTTATAGATTAATCAGTTCAGTACGTCCATACATGCCGTGACAAGACTAGTAATGTTAGTTGATCAGATTTATGGGGGAAGAAAAAACAAAGTAGTTGTTTTGAAGGAATGTGTATCCATGAAACATCATGTTAAGAATCCTATTGTAATTGTCAAGAATCCATTACATACGTTAACTTTCAAAACTAACTAACGTTTTAGTTATGATAAAGCCATAAAGTGTAGTACGAAGTGTAGTAGTAAGAAATTCTCTACGAGTACTCTTAGTGACAAAAATATAATATTTTTAGTTGTATTATTGTTGTTGTAGGAAAAATACTTTGGTTAGAACGTAAACTTCTACTTTTGTTGTAAGCACAGAAAAGACGTTCTTATTCTGAAAGCGGTTACGATAAATCATATAAGTTTTAATGATTGACAAAAAAGCGTTGAAGAAAAAATAAAGTAAGAATATGAGAATACGAACTAAATTGATGCATATTTGTAAGAAAATTTATTAGACTTAATCTAGAGTGATGACTTCTTTCTTATATTTAACTTTAATACGTCCCTTTGGTATTTTTAACTTTCTTATTACTTTTTTTGTAAAACAAAATGGCACCCATTAACTTTTTTTAACCGAACATTATATCTGTTCCATTAAATTTAGAAATAGTATAAGTATTTGTAAGGCCGTATTCCAAAACAGGATTCGGGATGAATATAGTGTCAGCTAAGTGCACTATTAAATGTTCTTGAACAAAAAATCGATGCGTAGTGAGACAAAAATAAGATAATCTTCTTTTTGATGGATTAATTTTTTATTATTCACCCCCAAAATATTCATCAATAAATTTTGACAGAAGCTAACATTTTTCTCTACAGCAAAGCGAGGCCAAGAGTGTTTCTATCGCTCACAAACCCATCCAAACATCTCACCTGTTCGCCGTTCAGTTGTTGCTGCTGTTGTTGGTCAGTCGCCTGATTGCGCTGCTGGGTATTACTGAACATCCTCTGATGGGCACGCTTGAACTCTTCCATCAGCTGAAACAGCAATTGTTTGTAAGAACAACAGCATTGAAAAGAGGACATATCATTACGCCAAAGACCTAAATAGTTATCATTTCTCTCACTGGTTATGCACTACCTTATGCTATGGTCAAACCATTTCGCACACAAGTGCATACGTACAATAGCAGATGCTGGAATTGCGTCATGGACTTGCTAAGAGAGTGCATGGGAAGATAGGTGTGTGAGTGTATTACGAATACATTTTACACACGGATGTGTACAATGATTGTATGAAAGGATCTTGAATTTCAAAGATACGCTCGTGGAGGAGGAGAAAGGAAGGGCGAGAAGTATGTGGCTAGTGAACACATTGGAAGAGAAAGAAAGGGACCAAAAAACGTATACAAGGAAGTGAGATTTATCTGTTCCGTGATTATACGAATATATTTGCAGAGAGTATTTATGTACTTATACCATATTGGAAGCACTAAAGGATTACAATACTCTTGCCCTTTATTTAAAGCAGTAAAGGCTGGGTGCTCGGGTATAATATGGGTATAGCTATGGTTCGAACGATTATGGCACTTTTCAATGGAAGAGGAGGGGGAGAAAGGACGTTGTGTTTACCCATCTCTTTTCTCCCTTCCTTCTCTGGTGCAGCCAACAGATAACAAAATAGCGTAAGGCGGAAGCGATGATATTCAAAAGACCCAACTCAACACCGTAGCTGTTTTTTTATATTTGTCAAGGCGCGTGTGCAGAAACAACGAAATCAGAATTCTATGAGGTTCGAGGGAAGAATAACGAACACTGGATTAAGATTTTTTTTTTGCAACACAAGTTGTTCCGAATTTGTTTCCACGTTAAAGTCTTATTCAAATTGAGGTGAGAAACGCATTTATCTCCTAAGCTATTCGTTCATGAGATCCAGAGGAATATGTATAATGGAAATGATTCTAATATTACTAAAATTTTGCTTATGCTTTTTTATTTAATTTTTTTAATTCTAAGCTTACACAGTAAGACCGTAAATTTAGTGAAATAATTTAAAGTTCCTTGTATTACTTGATTTAAATAACATCATACTTACCACCGCCACCCCAGCCTGCAAAAATTAAAAGATTTAATAAACAAATAATTAAATCTATGTATTAAAAACTGCTCTTTTAAAAAATACAAATAATAAAAACTGCTCCCTTTTACTTATTTAATTATTGAATAATAAAGTGCCCCGTGCCAGATGACAGTTCAAAAGCCAATATCTCTGCTTATGTATAATATTTTTTGATAATTCCAGTTGTAAAAAACTGCTCTTTTAATTTACAAAATTGCTCTATGGTTTAATTGTCGTAAGGATTTGTTGATTATTTTTAAAGCTCGATTTATTGATTCTCACTCGACAACGTATGATTCCTAGGAAATTTTTACGTTATATAGTATAGAGTTGTTGGTTACATCGACGCGGACGACGCGTGAAACGGCGCAAGCAGACGACATGGAATGGCAGAGGCCGTGAACGGATGTATATACTTATGTACAGCATGTCTATTGTTAACATTTATAGAATGGTAATTAAATTGATATTGTTTGTACATTCATTTTAATATAAGCAGATGTTAAAAAAGTTATTCAAAGATGTAAACTAGAGAAATTAATAACGTGTACTTCAATTTGTGAAGCTTTGAACGTGCCAGTTGCTTGTGAATAAATTAATATTGTAACCGAAAACAAGACTGAGGTTAAAGGTAGTTGTTGTTTGTTTTTGCTCCACATCTTACTATAAAGTACACACTTTATAGCAATTCAGCTAGAAAGTGACCTGACTTGTAGCTGCAAATTCGCCAAATGCGCACTAGGTGAAGCCGTCTCACCTCTCATATACCTCTAGTAAGTATGTATCTAAATATGTCTATCTCTCAACAACATGAGCGGAGGGTGTGTAGAGGAGTTGGTCCCGGTGTATAGACACCCGGTCAGGACTCCAAGCACTCCGGCAATACAACACTGGGCCCTTCCGGAATGGATTTTTTCCGAGTGTCTTCTCCATTTTCACGGGACTTACCCTTGGCGAGTGCAGAGAAGCATCCCCTCACCCTTTTCCATCTTCCATTTCCATTCCAGTCCCTCTTCCCTCTATCCCTAGTGCCAAATCGTCCAGTGCCCACAGTAGAATGTAGTGCAATATAATATAATAATAATAGTAAAAAAAAGTAGGATTATCAAGTATTTCTTTGGCAGGCAATGAGTCGCCGTATCTTGAAGAAGCTGAAGGAGTTGGTTGCATCAAACAAACAACAGTGTCACCAGCAGCCTAGTTCTAAGACCAAAATCAAGGGTTCGACAAAACATGGGCTTCTAGACAAGAGAACTGTCATTGCTTGGAGTTCCGTTGTTGGAGTCCATATATCTTCCAGTAACACTTTGTACTGTTAGATAAGTTGCATTTTACTTTTGTTTAAATTTTATTTATATACATTCATAAAATGATTAAGCTTTGTGAAAAATTTATTTTGTAGATGCACGCAGAAGGCTGACTACCCCGACAAAGTGTCATAAGTATCCAGCAGCTTCTGAAGAGACTTCGATGCATATTTACATGTTGCATTTATTGCATTGGAAGAAAAAATGATTTCAAAAGGACTATAAATAACAACGGCTTAACTGGCCCCTCGTTTCGTACATCCTTTTACAAAAATAAAACTTCGTCAAGTATGCGACATTCGATAAGTGTATTGAAACTTCCCATGGTCAGTGGGATAGTGCAAAGTGCAGTAATTGTTAATAAAACAGTTTTAATGTATGTGCAACAGTTTAATGCTAGTCAACGTAATAAAAATTTAGACTATTTAATCAGTATTTCTCAAACTCGAATATCGATGTAAAAGATAAATTGATAAAATGTTTTAGATGAAGCATAAAAATGTGTGTAAATTAGTTTTCCAATAAATAATTATGTATGGCAACATGTAAAAGTGTTTGACTATAGGATATCAAAAGGTGACAGTACTAGATGTGAGAAGTAAGAAATGATATAATTACTCAGAAGCTCAAAATATTTTGTAAAAATGATCAATGTGGTGCCCGAAGTGTTATAAAAAAACTGAAAAATCAAGAGCTATTTTTGGAACATAATGGAGTGTATTACTATTTTTATAGCAAAATGTTTAGGTCAGAATGTGTAACCGTTTCTCAGTTCTCAGTCTCAATGCATAAATAAATACAATTCGAGATTTGAAAAGAGGTTTGAGAACTGAGAAACTATAAATTTCTGCCTAAAACTTTCTTTTTATGTAATGTACTCTTAATCAAACCACAAGTTCGAGCGTAACTTTTATTTGTGTAAAAAAGTAAACCATCCTGTTCAAGAGTCAACTGATGAAGGACTATAAAAACGTTTTATTTAATTAAATTATAAGTGATAGGGGAAAACTACAATTTCCTTCTCATGCATTTTTTATAATCAATCAAAAAGAGCTGTTGTACTTTATATTTCTAGATGAAATTCAAATCATTTTGCATGAATTAAATTAAGTACATGTTATTAATTTCTCTAGTTTACATCTTTGAATAACTTTTTTAACATCTGCTTATATTAAAATGAATGTACAAACAATATCAATTTAATGACCATTCTATAAATGTAAACAATAGACATGCTGTACATAAGTATATACATCCATTCACGGCCTCTGCCTTTCCATGTCGTCTGCTTGCGCCGTTTCACGCGTCATCCGCGTCGATGTAACCAACAACTCTATACTATATAACGTAAAAATTTCCTAGGAATCATACGTTGTCGAGCGAGAATCAATAAATCGAGGTTTATAAATAATTAACAAATCCTTACGACAATTAAACCATAGAGCAATTTTGTTAATTAAAAGAGCAGTTTTTTACAACTGGAATTATCAAAAATATGATATATAAGCAGAAATATTGGCTTTTGAACTGTTATCTGGCACTGGGCACTTTATTATTCAATAATTAAATAAGTAAAAGGGAGCAGTTTTTATTATTTGTATTTTTTAAAAGAGCAGTTTTTAATACATAGATTTAATTATTTGTTTATTAAATCTTTTAATTTTTGCAGGCTGGGGTGGCGGTGGTATCATACTTGACGTTAGTCAATTGTACCTTTATTTGTTCCTTATAACATTCAAAATTATACTATAGAAATTTTTATGGATAAGTCATTTTTGACCTTGTTCATAGTTTTGGAATCATTCTTCAAAATTGTTTTTCATGCGTAATTTGGTTTCTTTCAGTAAGTCATACTTGTAAATACAATATCCGACCAAAATTATTTCTTAGGGACTAATTATTTCTATAAATGCGTTAACTTCCATGTTCCATTAATATGGATCGTTTTATGAATAAGCAACTTTACCTAGCAGGCACGGGTCTTTTTGTATGTCTTGTGAAATGACGCGTGATTGATACCTTGGTAACTTTAGGATCCAATAGCAACTACTTCTACGATTTCGCACTTATCAACGATTGAAACTAAATACATCACTTAACCTACCTTGTCGTGAGTGACTTTTTGCTCCTGCGCTCGCAGGGCCTCAGGATTCTGCGGCTTTCGCGATTCCAGCTGTCCGTTCTGAGCCGATTTTTCCGTGGCCGAGTCTTGGTTGGCTCCATTACTTATGCTCCTCTGAAGTAGAAAAACAAAAAAGGGAAGAGTTATCACCTTCAGTATAGACTTGTCAATGAAATTTTTGGACACTCCGTTGATCTTGCTTGGTCAAATTCGTCGATGCCATTGTGGAAAGGTCATTACCAAACGTAACGATCATTACCCCAAAATCAAACATTATACGTCTACCAACCTGCTTAGCTCGCCTCTGTAGCTCCTGCGTGATGGCAGTACCAAGATCGATGGTGGAAGGTGGAGGTGGTGGTCCTTTGACGGTAGTCTGGGTAGCAGCACCGGCAGGCCGGCCGGCTTGTATGCGCACCGGTTCCAGCTGAACGACCGCTGGCTTGCCGGAAGCTCCACAAGCAGCGGCTGCTGCGATCGATGAGGCGAAGCTTGTCGCGGCCATTGGCTGCTGCTCGCAGGACGATGTCGAGAGAGATGACGATGTTGAGGCCATGTCCTTACCACCGCAGGACGATTCAAGGCTTGACTCGGTCTCCGTTGAACCGGTGCTGCCCATTGACATTGTGCTGCCCATCTGGAGGCCCATCGCGTTCATCGGCTTCGTCTCTGTGGGTTTGCATTATTTTTTGGCTAGTGTGAAGATTGATCGTTGTTGATATTGTTTGGCACCAGGATTTATACGTTATCATAACAGTACATACAATTTCAATAACGTATAAAACTTTTGCTGCTTTTTGTAACTTAAATTCACTTCTGGGTTCAGTACACAACGATTTGCAGATTACTTTCTGAACAGTGGGCTTAATTGATGTTGAAATCTAAATGACATTTCAAGTGAAGAGCTATATGGTGTTATGGAATGAGTTTTCTGTGATGCACTCAATTGAATAATACATTATTTTACGTATTTAACAAATAATTCATCTACTATCAACAAAGTTAAATCATCCATCTCATATGTTGTCGTCAAATAATGGTAACACCAAATTGACAAATCTTCAATATGCAAATTAATGCGTAAGGATAATGGCTACCACAAGAGAAAACAATACGATATTTTAAAAAATTTCGTTTTTGTCTTGAAGAAAATGAAATTTAAAGTCTTGTCTTAGTCTTGTCTTGGTCCCGCATAGGTTATCTTGATCTTTTAAGTGGTCTCGACTTTTTGTCAACACATCTATATTTTCACGAATAGAAATTCAAAAACAGCAACTTAAAAACATAAATGATATAAAATTATTGTAAACTGGTATCAATTAATAAGTCCGCTACTAGGAAGAAGTTTTTTAAACTATTGTACATAATTTTAGATGAAAAATTTGTAAGACTGTAGACTGTGGATGTAATCAGATGAAGAGAAAAGTAATCTCTCCTAAATTTTCCCACACGAAGGGAAGATACGTCATGAGCTGTAACCATTAAAACGTTCTATTTAGTAACTTCAATATTTTCATTAAATAATTTAAAAAATTTATGTAATTTTTTTGTAACTGTTTAACAGGATTACAAGTACTTGCTTAACATGTATTTTGTGTTTGAATTTTTTTTTTCCTGATAAGGCTGGCTAACCCTAAGCAAGCAAAACGCTGGCAACCTATGAAATTACTGTGTATAGTTTATTTAGTGGTTCTCAAGTAAATTATAGCATACGTAAAAACTTAATACCTGTTTTATACCAATATTTTAATGTCAACTACTTCAGACGTTTTTTTATTTAAAATCGATGCATTATGATTATCACTTTCAGGTAAACAGTCTTTTCGTTTGTTTTTATTATTTTGATCAATTCACTTGTTTATTAAAAAAAAAAAAAAAAAAAATTTGAGGTGACAAAGTTTTTTAAAGCGATATCCTTAGATTATTCAATAACAAGCCTAACAATTTTTTTACACTACACAATTATACAATTTAAAGCATATCCTAATTGTCTACCTAGAGCCTCATTAGATCCGGTACGGCAGTCGCTCGAATGGGCTACTAATGCGCCCATTAAATTTTACGTGGGAGAAGTGCTCAAAGGTCTTCTCATGATTTACAAAAAAAAATTACACATTTAAAGAACTTTTTCGAGTTGGCATTTGAAAGTATATCAGTTCTTCAAGGAAGACAAAAAAAAAGAATAAAGTAATGGTATCATTTTAAAAATACATGTGCATCAAAACAAACAATTTTAAACTGCCTAACGGCCTATTTCTCTGGAGAATTTCCGTATTTTTATTTCTTAAAAAAAGTAAATGATCCCGATGTCGTTATCAAAAATCAAGGAAATTACCTGCTGGCCACTTGTAAGGCAGAGGCGGCGGTGGTGCCGGTGGACATGGTTGATGAACCTCAACAGTCGTCACGGTCTTCCTGTCTTTGTCCCCCGTCTGCTGTTGTTGCTGTTGTTGCTGCTGTCGTTGCTTTTGTCGGCCAAGCGTTTGCTGAGAAACCGGACCACCGCCCAAGACTACGCTGCTACTGTTGTTACTGCTGACGACGTTGTTCTGCTCTGTCTGGTTGTTTTCCTACAAAATTGCGGGATTTCGTATTATTAACTTTTTTTTTAGACCACATTCTGAAGGTATACTTGATGAAATTTCTGGATGTTGTCAATATCGATAAATTGAAAACTAAAATTTTAAAGAAAACTAAGTAGACGCTCAGAAAGCTTATGTCTAATTTGTAAGCTTAAGTAATGATAATGCCATTGCAATCCTCTAAGATATACTATTACTTCCTGGAAGTTAAATATCGTGTGAAAATGAGTCCTTGTTATGCGCACGTGATTGTCTTAACCTGATAAAAACGTGCACTAATCACATAAGTTACCATAGAAAGCGTGGCTTTGTCAAAGAGCTCATAAAATGTAAGCGTTTAAGAAGTGGCAATGCAAAAGAAAAATTTCATTGCAGCTGTTCTCATCAATTTCATTAATTTACCCTGTCAATAGATCCATTCACAATTGTATTAACAGTTTATTAAACTTTTTTATGAGGACAGTGCAAGTTATAGACAGTATCTTTTTTCGTTCAAAATTTTTGAACTTACTTGAAAATTTAGCTAATACTGGTATCCTGTTATCCATATCCATAATCCAATTATTCTTTCATGTTCAATGTTTCAGAATTTTTTGCAATTTTTGAAAACCTTGTGACAAAACTACATGACAATATTATCAGAATTCATTTTCAAAGATTTTCTAATTAAATTTAAAGATGTTTCTAGGATATTCATAAGTCAATTTTTTTTGTATATACATTTTTTCGGATTATGCACCATTTAAGCATTGCAGGATAGTCAATAATAGTCTCGTTTAATTATTAAAAATTGATTGTGTTTCAAATTTAAACCAAATTGATTCGTCGATACAAAATTTCTCAAATCAACCATAACTAATAAAATCTCATAAATTCATGCTTTGAATTTTATATTTTTGGTAAATATTTATTTTAAAATACGTCATCCATAAACAGCTTTGTTCAGCATCTCACTTTTTAATCAATAGTTGATAAAAAATTATTTACTCTGCGTAAAATATTTTATAATTTTGAATAATTTATACTGGATTTCCTGATCATCGTTTGGTAATTATAAATTTAAATAAAACGTAACTAAGAGAGCATTAGAAGTTTGCTACGTTTGACTTTAGATAAAGCACAATTATCCATTGTTGTAAGATTTTTTTTTCAATAAAAAAAAACTCAAAAGTTGTTTCTCTTTATGGATCCAAGACACTAAATTTTATTATTTTCTTGATCATTACAATCAAGAAAAAGACTCACTCATTTGGAAATTGAAATCATTATTTTGCTTGAGGATTGATCTACAGACTTAAAAATCTCGAGTCGTTTAGAAAAATTTGTGTAAATTAAAAATGCTATCGAAAACGGTACATAGGTTATACAATACAACTTTCTATTTTATTCTGTAGACCACGATTTTTAAAGAATTAATGTATTGTCTTTAAAACCTGAGAAAAAAAAGGCTTTCTTTAACTGACAATCTGGTAAAAGAAATCGTGTTTTCAATATCACTATTCAAAAATGGTACTCCTACATTCTTACAATAGCCTCTCAAGACCTAAGTGAATAGATAAAAAACACACAACCTAATCTTACTAATAAATACAGCAAAGTCGCTGAAACCGTTGTAATCGCAAACTGCGAAAACTACTCAACAGATCTGGCTAAAATCTTTCATACTGATTATTGATAATTCCTACATGGTTTTAGTGTAGTTTTTGTTTTCAAACAGTTAATAACAATAGCAATAAATAAGTTCAAAGTTTTGCAAAAATACGCTAGCTTTTCACGTTAGTTCAATAGGATTTACTAGGTAGCGTCGAAGTAAAATCAAAACAATCTGCAGTAGAATGAATAATTAAATAAGTGTGGTCATAATAGGCCCAAGAGTCTCGTTTACTTCCACAGTCGTTCACCAGCAGTACATCATGAAGAAAGTTGTTAGTCGTACAGCTGGGTATCCCGGCTACCGACGACATTCTTCTCCAATGGGCAAGCTACCTACGTCTAATTTCACCTTGAACCATCAGGATTGACGAGTGTCAACAATAAAAAAATGTTTTAAACGATTATGTCTCCGGAAAAATATCAGGAGATGTGTCCAGACAGAGCACAACTTGCTCCAACACTTCAGAGTTTTGATGCCGTTCAACCATCCCGCCTGGTGCCGTCAGAAAATTGTTCACTATAAATGCAAGCCAGGGAAGATAGCTTTGAAAATTATGGGCAGCCACAAAGGCCTGTTTCTTAGTGGTTGTCCCAACGGCAAACCCACAGTAAAGGTATTCTCCAGACCCATTTTCTCGACTATTGATGAGCGGTTGGTTATCCGGAGAATGACCCGAAGACGAGATATTCTTTGGTCAGTGGCGTACGTCCTTCCAGTACGGTATTCGTAAGGAATAGCTGGAAATTTCACCACTGGCCCTTTTGAGGGCCATTATAAATATTTACGTCCCCTACTTAACCATCAATCTCATCGGTTCTTTTAAGGACCACCTAAGTTTACACTACCTTGCCAGCATATACATTTTTAATACCAATTCCAGAAGCGATTCTTCGACTCAAAGACTATATAAAGCCGGCGACTATTAATCCAAGTCAGTCATTCACTGGCAGACGTAACGAGTGGAGTTGTTTGTCGTAAGGCTGGAAACCCTGACTCTATAGTGCCCTCTCGACTTTAAGCATTCAACCAGGAATCACCGATCCTCTCGAAGGTCTACGCTGGGCAAACCTAACAGCTGTGAAGGAAAAATAAACTTGAGCCAACGGGACAGTCTCCAACGGGCAAGCATCACGAACCAATCTCCCCACCTTAGATCACCAAAACAACTGAGTCTGCAAAACAAAAAGGTGCTTTAGACACCAACGTCTTTGACGTTATACCAGAAGACGTTGGGAAAGATCTCTACAACTAGCTCCAAAGCTTCAAACGTTGTAGTTTTTTTTCTGATCAGTGTGGTGCTATTATAATAGACCAGAGAAGATCACACTGAGGTATGAAGGTAGTCACGTTTCTAGGAAGCTTCAGTCAAGAAAGAGTTTACTTAAGAAGATCAAGGTCCTTTTTAGGGCCATTGGACGTCGAACTACATTGCCAACAAAAATGTATTAGAATTCAACAAAGTTGACAAAAAACAGCCTCTAGGGCTCACAAAAGTCTTGAACATGCTAAAAGTTTTAAAGGGTGAATTGGAAGGAAAACTTCAAATGTATCTAATGAATTCAATTTTAGATGTCAAGAAACTGACGCAGAAAATTTATTGAGATTGAAACAGCAGCGTCAAAATCGACAACTAAAGAATTCCTTGCGTGAGAGATCAGCTTTTCATTGTACCCGTACAGTAATATCCTAAATCTTCGAGATTTTTAAATGGGTAGAACATGTATTTGTATTTTTATGGCGATAAAAAATGTAGAGATTAAGCTTCAGGTCTTTGTTGCTCTAGTAATAAAGTTGTGAGATAAGAGAAAAAGTCTTTTTAATTATACATTTTTTGTGAGTTTTTAATCCTTACAACTGTAAAAACTAGCCCTTTTCTTAGATTAAACGGGTGAAACTGTAAATCAACGGCCCTTTAGAGCCAACGTTTATTTTATGACATAAGGAATGCACGGTACTTTTCAGCGTGGGGCCGTTAGTAACAAATAAAAGTGCAGAATTTACATACAGGCACAGTATGAGACAATTAAATCATGTGAGAGACAGAGAAAAAGAAGTGAACATCGAAGGCGTAACCAGTAACTTGTGTAAATACAAAAGTAAAGAGACATGAAAATAAATACACGATTACAAAGATGTAAAGGTAAAGACAGGTAATGAAACGAGTAAAGAGAAATAAAAGATATTAAGAAGTGGTGGAACTATTTAAAATCACTAATAATGTTCTAATAAATTATTGATTTAGATACAACGACAAACAGGCAAAAACGCAGACCTAAAGACCTGTGAGCAAAACGACGATCACTGAAATAAAGACCAATGAGGTGGACATACCACAAAAAAATGTACCATGGTAATGGTAAATACTTAACAGACAAAGATAATCTGGACACGAATAAAATGACAGGTACAAGCCTTTTAAATAAGGTGTTAAGGCAACCGAGAAGGGCTAATAGAGGCTAAAACGAAGATTAAAAGACGCGAAGATGAATAAGTAAATACTTGATCAAAAAGAGATCCTTAGAAACAGAAGGTATACAAAAACATAGAGAACTTGAGAAAGGCCACTAAAAGATTGAAAAATGAGGAGTGCAAACCTGAGAGATACATACACAGTCGTGATTGAGAGACCAAGACACTATGTTAAAAATTCGAAAAAAAAAATGAGTAATGTAGGGACACGATTGAAGAGTCAAACATAGATTATGGAAAGAAGGTAAAATACTAATCTTTCGCTTCTCCTCAAAAAAGCCCATAAAATTACTTTTCCCATACCTTGTTGAACACGTCGTCGATGGCCTGCTCGTACGACTGCTCGCGAATCCCGTGCTCGCGCCTGTACTCAGCCCTCCGGTCGAGCTCGTCCCTGGGATTGGCGTCAAAGTCGTGGGACTCAAAGTCCTTGGGCGCCACTGGGTCGTAGAGCGGCTCCTCGTCCACGTCGTTGTTGTCGTCGTACATGGCGCCATTCGCGCCCGAACGCATCATCGACGGTAGCAACCTCGGTGCGCTGCCGCGACGGATGTGCGTGTGGTAGGTCGGGTACTGTTGATGCTGCTGGGACGCGTACGGGTTGTTGGACGTGCCGTGGTTTTGGCTTATGCGGATGACTGTCGTGTTGTTCGGCTTTCGCGTCCATTCCTGAGATGGAGATGGTACATTTTTTGATTTTTTATTTTATTTTAGGGCTTTGTTTGTCAACATACAGGTATTTTTGTAAAATAGGTTAGTTTTTTACGATGACTTACAAAGTGATCAATGTCATTGTGAAGAAGATTGCACAACACCAGACTCTCATAATTTACAAAAGTGATATTTCAAACTTTATTAATTTGTCACCCTTCGTTAAGTCAGTGCAAATGCAATAAATTACTAATAAGATATTTTCTTATTTATCGTCTCCATTGCATATTTTAAATAAATTACCTGTAATACTTAGCAATAAGATTTGTTTTCGACTGTGTAATCAAGGATCAAAACTTTATATCTTTGCTTTGTGGTTATCGATTTTTCTGTCATAATATACCAAGTCGTTAATTTTATTCCATCAAAAGTTTTCGAAAACTATGTGTGCAAATAAATGTAGGAAATGCAGAATTACATATGCAACATAGACATTAATAGAGAATACTCGGCAAAAAAGAGCAATTTCCATGTACATTGCATATGACTTTATTTAACTCAGTTGTGAGGGAGCCGGAAACTTTTTGTGTCGACGTTCGCCTCGATTCATCGTATCCGTCCATTGTGCACGTGAAACAAAAATTAATTTTCAGAACTCCCGTAACAATTACGATCGCTTTGCGTTGCAAACGAGGCGCGTTGTTCACCTGCGCACATATTCAATCTCTCGACTTATGTAAATTTATTACACGCACTTTTGCGCCTCGTGTTACGCTGCAAGTATATACATGTCGTGTGCGAAAATAACTGCGGTTGAATAGACCCATAAAAGTGTAACAATGAATCGCACAATAGGACTAGACGAACCTGTTCCATGTGGCCCCAATCCGATTGACCCGAGCCATTTGGTGGACAGCAGTTTCTGAAACGACAAGGAAAAACAATTTTTTATTTTTTTCTTTCTTTCAAATAAATTTTCCTCTTACACTGCGCTGCTGCGTTTCGTCATTTATCTCCCACCTTGGAAAGCGCCATTAAACATCCGCAATGAATTTTCATTCGAAGTAAAAAGTATTTGATTGACGCGAAAGTGAATCTCTCCGACGCAACAATGCGCACCAGTGAGTGAGAGGGGGGGGGGGGTATATTATGGTACTTAGGTAACCCGAGGAGGTGCAATGAAAACCGCGAAAACAAATTGAACTTTTTCTCTCTCTCTCTCTTCAAATGAGCCATTCCTCGGGTCTGGGTACGCGTGGAAGTTTACGTAAGCCGCACCTCATGAGAATCAAATGTGGGGAGCGCAGGTGCTTTCTAATTTTCCCATCAGGCGCTAAGCAAAGAAGGGACGCTTTTTAAATTAGAAACAAAAATGGAATGACTTATTAACCAGTAGATGCGTTACTTAGTAATGTATTTGACTGTCCATTCTCTTGCCGATTTTTGGATTAACTACACTCTATTACAAAAATTTGTCAGTTTATAGGATTTTTCAGAATTAATTTGATCTTAAATTTTTTTAATTACGATAATATTAACTAGTTTAATCATACCAGTGCTTAAATTTCCTAAATGTGTCTCCAATTGCTAAATAATTTGGAAAATCTAAGTTGTGTGTATATATATTTGAATTTCACCCAAAAATTTTATTTTCCTGTTAAATTAGGAACGTATTATAAAATTGCAGCACAGTTTCTAACCACACATACATAGCAGCCTCTCTGTGGAATTTTTGCTCCGCATGTTCCATTATCACTGTAATATAGTATTAAAAAAAGTACCAAAATGAAGTACTCAAAAAAATGAATACCTGTATCGTAGCATAACGTAGTAAAGTTATAAGTACCACAAGCCAAACGTAATAACAAGACAAGGAAAGAAAATAGAGAAAATATAGTAATTTTTTCAGTGAAATTACAGTAAAAATTACTCCGAGCGATGAAGGAAGAGTAACAGTGAAAATCTAGTATCAGTGTGGCGTGTCATCTTTACCGCACTGTTACGGTAAAAATTTATGTAGAACTGTTCTCCGTGCAGTTGACAACATCATTCGAAACACCGAGTTTTAGTTAGGCTTTCGTTTTTCGCTGCACTATACGTCACCCGCTCGTGCACATGGGTGCACTATGAGAAAGGAATCCTCCTCTTATTCGCTTATAATTTCGCGCTGTTACTTTCACTGCTCGGATAGCAAGAGCAATTGGCTCCCATTTTTTTGTCCCCGCGCAAAATACAAATAATCAACAACGCCAATATGGCTCTACATTCGCACGACGTATGGTTCGTTTTTTTTGCCTTCTGTCGGAATAATGTATTGTTTTTTTTTTTTTTTTTTTTTTCTATACCGGAGCTCTACGGCTTTTACTTTCGTTTCTGGTTTCTTGCTGGTGCAGAGAAAGATTACCCGCAGGTGTACGTGTTTGTATTCCGAGAGTTAATTTTTCCAAGGAGCACATGCAAGCCGATTTTGCGAAAAACGTGCCGCAGCGTGAAGTCGTTCAGCTTTTCGGCCCATTCGTTCGCCAGCTAATCTCGCGAAAATGAGACTCTGGCACGCTTTTCGGTGTCAAGGTACGCGCGTGCCTGGCTCTCGTGTGGATGTGGTTCGTTTTGGATTTTTTCACGCTCGTTGCACGGAATTATGGTTATTATGTTACTGAAACGACGCTCTCGGAAGGTTCTGGCGTGTGGATCTTGTTTACGTGGCTTCTGGAATTTAGTGACTATAAGAGATGTTCCTGCTTGGTTCTATTTTTTTTCTTTTTTTTTCTTTTTTTTTATTGTTAGGTGATAAAAAGGATTTAAAGATCAACGATAAAACTGACCTGTTCATTAATTTTTTACGTTCCTCTGTTAAATCTGTATTTCAATGTTTCCGATATATATTATTTTATGTATGGATAAATTACCAAAAATAGTTAGTTTTTAATGAAAGTATTCAATAACAATGGAAGTTGTTAAATCTCCCATTTTTTTGGAGTTTTGATAAAATATGCAGAAACAGGAAAAAAGTTATGATCACGATGTCTTTGGTAAAAAAAGGATTGTATTAAATGTTTATTATTATTATTATTATTTAAATCAACTTACATACTTTTTTGTAAAATGATGATTTATAAATGAAAGATTGAATAAATTTATCAAGTATGCTTTTTAATACAGTTTAAAAAACAAAAAAACAAACAGAAATCACATAATAAACTCTTAAAAGCGTACAAGTCCCCACTTGTTTCATCGTAGTCTACTATGCTTGCCAAAGTATTTAAAATCAAAGCTTACAATTTTTTTTTTAGAAATCGGGTTTTAAATGTTTATTTCGTGAGATTTCATGAAATTTTTGTCACTACTTCATAAATGTAAATTTAAAAATTTTTTATTTGTTAATAGTTTTATTGAATTTTATCTGACTTTCGAAGGGGGACTCCAAACTATCTCATGAAATTGAATCTCTTGACCTAGTTATTGCAGATCTTAAAACAAAATGGCTCTATGATTAAAATGTAGACAAAATCCAAGAGATACGCAGCAGCAAAAGTTCGGTGGACCTCACGTTGACCAAAAAACTCAAGTTCCACTTAAAAAATCGAAAAAACTCACCGCCCGTTTCGATTACACGGCAACTGTCCATATCTCGGATCGGATGACGACCTGTGATGCTGCGGCGAGGCTGGGTGCTGGTGTTGCATATGCGCAGGCGGTGGACTCGGCCCGACAAGGCCCGACGACTCGGAGTCGTATCCGCTGGAGCCGCGCTGGATCCACAGCGATTCCGGACAATCGTACACGTGGTTGACTATGGGCCGATTCACCACGAGATCCAACACTGCCGCGTTGCGCATCGTCTCGATCGCGCGCTCGAACGGCAAGTCGGTCAGACTTACGCCATTGCACCAGATTATTATGTCACCAGTCTTGAGTCCCGCCGCTCGCGCTGGTCCACCCTCTCTAGTGCCCTAATGGAACATTAGTAATTCAGTATTTTATTTCATTCGTACATTTATTTACCTTTTTTTTTTTTTTGACTTGGTTGTTGCTCGCTTATTTATATCTTAAATGGTATAACGCGAACAAATCGGTAAGAAAATCAACCATTGACACTCTCTGGTATGAATTTCCATCGTTTATTCCTCACTTTATTTTTGTTACTCTAATTTAAACAGAAAATAATGCAGTATTTATCAAATTTTACATTGCAACCACAATTTTTAAGTTATAGTAATAAAAATTAGATAAAAATTGTTTGTTGCACTTGTATTCCGTTGTTATCTATGATTAAAATTCCCGCTGACAAAAATAATTTGTTTATCTACAAGTAGTTGGAAAATCCATTACAAGATCTTTGTAAAGAACGTAAGAATGAAAGAGAAAGAGAGAGTAGCTCGATTTTACAATACTATGTGTTATCGATTGTTTGTATAAATCATGCTCGCAAATCGTAAATATAACGTTTTGAAAAGCCACGTGCACGGCTTTCGTTTGGAATGTCCGGGGCTGCATTAAGTTTTAAAATAAAAGGAGCACCGGGGCAAGGGGGGTAATGGCTCTCTTGCGGACGGAAGGCTACAGCGGCTATTGTTTTATGTAGCAAATCACATGGTAATCGGGCAAATTAACAAAGTGACTATGTTGTCGTGTCGAGCAGGAGCAGCTCTCTCTTCACTTCTTTCTGAAGACTCGAACCTCTCACACGTTTTCTTCGTTTTACCGTTCACTTTTGATAATAAATTATTGAAAAATAGAATACGAGCTTACACGTTCTTATTTTAGAAATAAGTTTTTACAATGGACAGACAGGGAATAAAAGAACATTTCTTATTCATACCGATCAAATTAATGTAAATTGAAGATGAAATAAATACAATACGATCTTAGAAGTGTCTTTCAAGGGCTATTTCAAAATTTTGTAAGTGTTTGCAGGTTACTAAAAAATAACGTCTGTCCAACATTTTCCAGCGTTAAAATAGATTGAATTTTAAAAGAGTGGATTAAGTAAACTTTGCTGTCCCACATATGAATTTTGATTGTCATTGATTTATTCGTTCTGTGATTGGTCGAGAGTTTATTTATGGTTGGATTGCGTTACGTAACCCGCGTGATTCGAAAATGATTCGCGTTAGCTTCGCACAATATTCCATTTAAATGATGAATACCGAGAAAGTTTAACGTTAACAAATAATGAGTAAGAAATTATTTTCAAGCATTAGGGATTTAAGAATTTCTTTTTTCATGTACTTATATTAATTTCGAAATTTTGATAATCAAAGCGAGCAAAGCTAGCATATAGTTCTCTAGTTGTTAATGACACTGATTGTACATTTTAATAATTTGATATATCTCTATTCTTGTCACCAATCAAGTTTAAACAAATAGTTTATGATGCATAAAATAAGCTACTTTAGAAAGATTTCCGCGTCAACGACAAAATGCATATTAGTAAAAAATCAACTGTTGTATTTAACTATCACTGATAATTTAAAACTGAAAACTGCTGTTTTGTTGAGTACCTTCTCTCGCAAAATAAACTAATGGAATACATTTAACTACGTCTATTAAACAAAGCAAATACCATCAATTTATATTGAAGCTGTTACTTTCATTAGTAAATTTTTGACGTAATTATCCGCTGAAATGTTTTGCTTCAGACTAATTAATCCTTAATTGTTAGACCTGATGATAACGGAATGCATTTAACAAAAATGTAAAGTAACCTGGACTGTGAGGCCAGGCACGAGGCCTCTGCAGACGCCACATCCAAGCCGGCCCTTTTCGCCAACGAGTACTCGGATCCGGATCTCATTGCTCACGGCATCGCCAAACTGCAGCTGCTGCTGTTGTTGCTGTACCATGTGCCACGTGACTGGGTCATTTGGATTACTGTGTAAAAATAAAAAATAAAATTTCTTTAGATTATTGTCGAAAAAAAGAGACAAAAATAGGTTTTCACATTTTAAACTTACTCTTTGACTGGTATCATGCCGACGCCTAGAATAAGAAACTTTCGTTAGATTTTTTGTTACTTTACGTATCCGTACAAATTTTGAAGTTTTAAAAAATGTTTGAAAAATTTTTGAACGTTTTGTTCTACGAAAATTTTGCAGAAATTTTGCAGTGCCTATATTGTCATACTTTTGTAAATTTTTAGTGGAAGTATTTTACATTCAGTTTGTAAATTTTTGTACATTTGAAATGTATTTTACTCATTTTATAATTTTTTTTCATCAAAATGCTTTAAGACTTTAATTGATTAATGAATTAACAAGTGTCAAAAGCGTGCACCACCTCATGAAAAATAAAGTAAAGCAGACTCTTTGTTGTAATTATGACAAAAACGATAAATAAACTATAGCTTATAAAAATTGGGTTAAAAAAAAATTGTTTACATAGTTTAATTGAAAATTACTGAAAACAATAGAAAAGAGTACGTAATATGGTAAATAAATGTAAATAGTCGCACGTGGTATACAAAAATGTGTGTGGATTTTATGTTGAGTAGAGATTAATGTGAGCTTGAAATGATAATCGAAAAAACTGTTTTCAAAATAGTGTACAAAATGAATTGCGTTGTGTATAAGCATCGAAATATGGCACCATCAACGTTCTGGAAAACTTTAAAATTTGTATGGGGTAATTAATTAGTCGTTAAACTCTTACTTCTGATTTTGAGAACAAGCACTTGCTGGTTTTTCGCGAGAAGCGCCACTTCTTGGTGAACGGCATCTTCGACGGGGTATCCGTTCACACGAAGTATTTGGTCACCAACCTAAACGAAAAATAAAGTTGAAAAAAAATTTACTTGTTTGTAGCTTAAATTTAATTACCTCGAGTCGCTGAACTACAAGTTTTCACAATTTAAAAAAAAAATATTTTATGACTAATTTATATTTATATTTTTCTCTAATTTAAATTATACCAATTAAGCAAAAGTAGAAACTAATATTCTTAGTAGTTAAAAAAATTTATAAAAAAATATTACAGAAATTATAGTTTTACTTGTAGAAAAAATTCAGGGCAAAATGTTAAGA